GAAGGCGAGCCGTCGCGAACGAACAGGGAGCAGTCGCGCGAAGCGCTTCCCAAAAACCTTATTGCCGCCTTCTCCCGGTGCAGAACGTAGAAGGCAGAGGTTCCGGAGACCTGCTCTCCCGATCGCCGGTGCACGCCGGCGAGCGGGATGGAGTAGTCTACGAGCGACGGCGCAGTACAGAGTAGGAGGCAAACCCTAGATTGATTTTTCGTGAGTTGCGTGAAGACGGCAAGTCGGTTTATATAGAGAAGGGTTGCTTGATCAGGGCGCCCGCACGATCTCTACTGCGCGTAACCGAACCGGATAAGTCGCGCGTAACTTATCCGAACTCCATGCCGTTTGCACGCACCGGATTTTTCGGAACGTTTCCAAAACAAAAACGAATCCGAATTTGCAGCAAAACAAAACTGCAAAAGGAGGCTGCATCTGCGCAAGGGTGAGGAGCCAATTTTTCGGACCATTCAACGCGTACGTCGTGCACGCGCGCCGCCGGCCCGGCCAGGCGAGCGAGCGCGCGCGTGTTTCCCCTCTTCTCTCCACCACACATGCTTCAAGCGACTAGGAGGGCATCCTCCCTTTTAAGGAGGTCCCCCTCTCCTAGAATAAGCAAGGTGGTACTAAACTCCACATGCATGCCATCCCATGAGGTGGGCTTTTGTGATTTTCCAAAGAATTAATCTTCGAGTGGGCTAAGGCCCATTCATTAATTCCAACAATTACTGCGCTATGGACTATGAAGAAACCCTAAACGCTGTGAATTGAAGGTGATTATAAGAGCTCACTGTTCCAACATCGTGCTGTCCTAGTGTCCTAAATGACCACTGTTTTTTTCTATAATACCATTAAAGACTCTTAATAGCTCCCTGACAAAACTGGACTCTTAATAGTTACTAATCGTCCTTTTAGGTCGGCCACTCCAGCGCAAGATAATGACCGTTTGTTGAGCACATTCCTTCATTTTTCTTAGGTGAATATGTTTGTTGTTTTATGTACTAATTCTAGAGCAACGCCCTTTTGTTGGTTGAAATGTTCAATTAGTATATCGGACATGCTCATGTGTCCCGGTGGTCCTTTTGATTTGTTTGATTCGGGATGCAAACAAAGTTTGGGGGACACCTGCCCTGTATTTTAGATTGTGGATCCAATGTCACCGTCAGAATAATCAATTTCAGTTTCGGTGACTCCATATGAAAATCTTTTAGTGATTCTAATGATATACTGACCCGTAAGAAAAATATGGGAAAAAAAAGGGTGTTCCCAATCTCAAACTTATGAATATCCTTTTCACTAAAACCATCGAATGATATTTGCTGCAGCATAAGTTGCCTAGTTGCAATGCAACACAGAGCGGAGCAAGACCTTTGGACACGGTGAGACCCTCCATTTTTCCACAGAGAACGGAAAGGGACGCAGCGGCGAAAGCAAAAGGGCCCGGAAAAGTGCACCGCGGAGGGCCCACATGTCATGGAGCACGAAACCGGGGCTTGGAAAGGACACGGGACTTTTAAACGCGCAGCGGAGCAGTAGCAAGACGAAAGCGACGGTGGAGACGCGCAGCACCGGTTCCACGCTCCCTTTGTCCGGTGGGCCCGTGGCCTGTGTGCGCGGTGGGTACGCCTTGGGTGGTCCGCCATCTCGGTATAAAACGACAGCCACAGATATTTTGTGCACACACACACGTAGCTGTACCGCTCCACCATATGCAAATGCAATCCTACTCTACGTGCCTATATACGTGTAATAAAAAATTCGTGTGGTGTATATATACACACGGTTGAAAAAGTCTCTGCTGGTATATCCGTGTGCATAAAACATACGAATAATACATGTTTACTGTAACACATATACTCTGGTATTTGGTGCGGTGGTATGTTTGTTCAAGAAAAAGGGATATGCTACGAGCCTATTGAGTCTATGACTGTTCCTCTTATTGCTTCTTTTTGCTGGACTCGAAAATGATCCGAGCTACTAGTACTTTTTTTTTCTCCAGGTCCACGGATGCAAACCACGATAATTGAAGTCTGTGTTCAGTGACGACACTTACTTTTTTTTTTCCTTTGATTCGATAATTGAAGTCTGTGTTCAGTGATGACACTTACTGAATATTTTCCGAAAAAGAAAATCACTTCTAGAACGTTTTTAATCTACTGATTTATGATTGCTAGTTTGCTACGTACGTAGTTTTATATCCGAAGTGACCCGAATTAGGTAGAGTTCCAATATCCCGTGAGGCCGTGACCAATCGCCTTCTTCCATGGCCATTAAAAACTTTTAACGCTACAAAACGATAGAGGTAAGCACTATCTCTCGATGCTCTGCGTATCTGAAGCTCAAGCCATCAAAATGGCTGAGACGCACATTTGCCATCAGTTGCTTCGCTTCCAATCGCAGTAACGTTTCAGAGATTTTTGGGATCAAGCCCTTTGGCATGCTAAGTGACTCTTTAAACAAGGGACAAGACATCACACACAACGTAATTCACCTAACTAGTTCATGTTTGATTTAACCCTTCATCACCATTTTTTTTCCTTTTCGCAAGAACATGCACCTAGACGAGACGTACGGAGTACTATTGAATCCATTTTCTACTCACCCTGTTCCTAGTCTCTGTACACGACTGTACCGTATTCGCCGCCTTGAAAGTTGAAACACTCTACAGGACGGTAAATTCACCATCATCACTACTAGCGACTATATCTAATCGCGACCTGTGATGCTGGCTACCGTTTAAGTCAAGCGAGACAGGTGCCAAAAACAAAAGCGACGGTGTTTGACAACGGGATGTGGTGAGATCGCCGTCAGGGCAGTACAGCGTGGGAGGGAGCTTGCCCCAGATGTAACGTTACAATTGTACACTAGCTACATAGATCCCTCCCTTCCATGTCAAAACAATCTGTGGACAGTGAGCCATCATGTAGATGCAGCTAGCTAATGGGTTGGGCCTAATGCATCGATCTAAAGCCTAAACCCATGGCTAATCGTGACTCACCAGCTAATCAAATTTTATAATCTGTAGTACCAAGAATCCAAGATTAGGTGATCTAATCTACCTCTACAAAGGACATTAAATAAATAAATTAAATAAGTGGGCGCAGTACGTAAGCTAACTCCAATGCCGCTAGTAGTAAGTACATAATTTTAACGGCATTCACATTTCATAATCCCAGCATTCATTAATCAACTGTGTGCTATTACCGCATGTACTGTGTATTCGGGATTTCTGATGGCATATGCCTCCCCAACGACCAGCAGGTCCCCGGTACAGCCAGCAGCTAGCATTAGCATGGGGTTAAGTTTTACGCCGCCGGTTGAGCGCGTCTCCAGGCACTGGCTTACACTATAATTTTGCTGAGACCACCATCGAGATTCGTGCGTACGATCCTGTTACAAAACAGAAGAAATCGCAGTGCCCAACAAAAGTGAGCAAATTATTGGTGATGGGCAGCACTAGTTAATTGTGTGTACAGTAATCTTGGTGGTATTGTGGTCACCTTTGGACGCTGTGGCAATAAACGTCTAAAGAAATTGCGATCAAAGCACGGACCTACTACTTGTACTAGGCTAGTAGCAAGGTCAGTAAAGTATCCCATGTGGAGTAAAATAAGGACAAGCTGACCCCAAAATTTGGTCTCCTGGATTCCAACCGGGCCGCGTCTCTCGCTGGGGAGACATTCAGTGATACAGCTGGATGGACCCAACGATCTCGCGTTTTTCTTTTAAGCAGCACAAATCTGCTTTTGCCTTGCTTTGAACTGTTCGGTTTGGTAAATCGCGGTAATATTCGCTCGTCTCATACAAAAACCTTGCTGTGCTAGAAAAGTTTGTGCATTGATTCGTTTGCTACCACAAGAGAAGTATACGAATCTAGTCTAGGAGGGGAAAAAAAAAGTTAAAATTATGGAGGCACGTAAAACCAGGATCGGTTGGGACAGTCAAAGCTGAAGAAGAGCTGTGCACTTGTGCTCCTCGCCATCGCCGGAAAAATGCTCCTGCTTTTCCCTGTCGAACGTGGCAAGGAAAAAGATGCCGGAAAATCAGGCAGGAAATCCCACACAGAATCATGGGCTTTGGTTGTATTCCTTTAACAATACTCGGGAGCATCTAATCCTACGCATCTAATGGAACTTTTAAAAGTAGCTATAATGTCAGTTTGGCACAAATTATATATCTGTGTTTGCATCATCACCGGCTCCAATTTGCCGGTCAGTTTTTTTATTCTGTTGTGTTTTTCTTTCTATCATTGTTGAGCTAATCCTGTTTTGATTGTAGATCGATCTCATCGACATGTATGTATGTAGTAGTTTATGGGATTCCTGATTGCTCCGTTCCATCCTTGATCTTTCAATATGACTCAGGTTGCCATCAGTGAGATTGCAAAGGGGACAGGAAATCATTCATTTGAGACTCGGACGTTGCCGGATCGACAGCATCTCAATTCTGAAACTGTGGCAAAAGCTAGCGACCAAACCTGTAATTTGCAGGTAAAGGATGGGTTACAGCTAACCGTATCAGACTTTTCCTGCTATAGAGACCCGCTAGTCTGTTGAGATGTTGAGTTGTAACGGTGGCGCCACTGGTTTGATTTCCTACCCCTGAAGTTCTGAAATCTGAACTTCGCAAGCTGCAGCACTGCGAGCGTGCTTGTAATGTTCAAACCTAGGTTGCACCTACTAGATAAGCGTGCTTATTATGTGTCACAACTCACAATGTCACATACTTTTCTCTCATTCGGCACAGTTTCAATAGAAAGCATACTAAGGCTGAGTTCGGATGGGGGAGATGGGAACCCAACTTCTGCGCACGGAAAACGGAGCAGTCCATTAACACGTGATTAATTAAGTATTAGCTAATTTTTTTTTAAAAAAGGATTAATTTGATTTTTTAAGCAACTTTCGTAAAGAAACTTTTTACAAAAAATGCACCGTTTAACAGTTTGAAAAGCGTGCACGCGAAAAACGATGAAGAGAGGATGGAAAAGGTGCATGCGAACACAGCCTAAGAGTCAGCCTAAGAGTGTTCATAAAACTTGTTGGGTTTCACACGCTTACAGTTGAGCCCAGCAAAAGCAAAAGTAGGGAAGCAACAAGTAAAGCAAGCCTCTTCGGTTTCAAATATGTTGGAACCGGGGTTTTCCTCTCTGTTTCTAAAGAACAAGTAAATAAGCTTGCATCGACATACTAAAGACACAACTCTGTGTTCTCATCATAAAGAAATCTACTCCATGCTAACATCTAGAAGGACCATAACCTTAACTTCAAGAACTTGTTTTTCTGTCAGGACTCCTTGGGCACTTAGATTTTGCAGCTTGGCAAAGGGACAGGCCCTTGATGACCTCCAAATCCCCCTAACAGCTTCGGCGAAACAAACGGCTTCCACTGTTGCAAAAAAGAAAAAGAAAACGACAATACCTTGTAAGCCAGCTGCAAAACTTTAGTAAAAACATTTTTCTTTAAAAAAAACATGTCCATTTCGCTGCCTATAAAACACCTAAGAATTGCTAAGGGAAGTAACAAAATGTACATGGGGGACAGTTCAGTTGGAGAAAAAAAACATATTTCATTCCTCAAAAGCAGAACACAGCGGCCAAAAAAACAGGAGGCAAAAATGGAGGAGAGCCCATGAATCGATCGCCTAGCTCCAATGTTCTAACCTTGAGAAATGAGAAAAAAAAAACAAACCAAGACTCGCCCGAGGAAGCTAGGGCCCAACTCGGCCCAAGACCCTCAGGCGCGTGTACGCACGTAGTACTAGTAGCACCAGTCCCCCTACAAACAGAAACAGGGTCGCGTACGTTTTATTGTTGTGAAAATGTATTTGTCTCCGTCGTCCTGCCCGTGTCGCACCAGAAGTCCCGAAAATAAAAAAGACGTGGCCTCCCCGCGCGCCCGACGCGCGGATGCGGCTCGATCGGTCTCACACGCGCAACGCGGGGCCTCGCGCGGTGCCCCACGGGTTGGCGTCGATGGCCGGCCGCGGCTGTGGCTGCTGGTGGTGGTGCCGGTGGTGGTGGTGGTGGTTCCGGTGCTCCTTCCGCACCGACACCGCGTGCGCCGCCGCACGCTTCTTCCGCCGGTGCTTCGCCCTGTCCACCTCGATCTGCTGCTGCCTGCACTCCTCGCTGCAGAACGGCGTGTCTCCCCTGTGCACCCACGCCACAAAACCTCAACAAACTTTTGCGTGCATGCATCGCGGTGAAAGGAGGGAGAGGACAAAAAAAAAAAAAGCTTTAAACCTGTACATGAAGATGTCACCGGAGAGGGACTTGCCGCAGAGGGAGCACTCCTCGAGGAAGTGGTGGATTTGGGCGACGTCCGCCTCGTGGACGTAGAACATGGACGACGGCATCGCTGCACCGCTCCCCTTCATGCCTGCGGCGGCGGCGTTGCTGGCTGGCTTCAAAGCTAGCTAGCAAGCAAGGCCCCGGCCTGGGCACGAGCGGGAAGAGGGAGCAAAATTGCCCCCCCGAGTCTTGGCACTGCACTGTCAAGGATCTCGGCTGGCTTGACGGAGCTCCGGTTCGCCGGAGGAATGTACAAATAGGTCGCCGGCACTTCCCATTTTTAGCCTCGGGGAGACAAGGAGAGGCTGGGAATTGGCAGCGTCCGACGGCAAACCTATGAATAGAAGCGGACGCCAATCAACGGAGCATGACACGCGTGAAAAATCTGCGTATACTTTGTTTGGTTTTGTGATTCTTGTTTACTGCAAAATTTGGAACAACACACTACTGGCCATTGGAGATTTAGTGAGGAAATGGGAGCCATTAAAATCAAGGCGTCTGAGATCATTCTTAGGGACAATGAACACGGGGGCTAAAATTTAAAAACAGCGCATAGACCGCAGGTTCAGAGAGATGAAGACATGAAGTGGATGCCCCCTTGGCACGTGATTCTTACTTACAGATAGTTACTAGGCAGTATGTACGCTGTTTTGGAGGTTGTTTACCTACCTCAACAATCAGTATGCTGTTTGGGCAGGAAAAAAAAGGGATTATGGAGTTCAGGCAGTCTTGTTTACTTAGCACTTTCTTAACGTGTAATGCTTCTGTTTTACTGCCGCTTCAAAAGTTATGGAGTAGTATATTCTGTCAATCTGTCGTGGTTGCAAGAAACATTCTCCAATGTACTACGCGGTCGGTGCCACCCTAGCAATCTTGTTTTCTTCCTTTTTCTTTCTTGAAAATGCGTGTGCGTATAATTTACTACTACCAGCATATACTGAAGTAGGAGCACTATTATGTTATTGACATTGGTCTATAGCTCACATGTGTAACATGCTAGCAGTACATGTGAATACATACACCACACCTCGATCAACATGTCTTTCAGAAATTATACGTAGATCCTACCTGTACGTATCCCACTTGTCCATTTACTACCGAGGTCATTTTCTTGACAACAACGCTCTGAAGAAGAAAACATTTCTCGTCACCTTCACTGGCGTCTGTTACTATTGACACGACAGCAACAGCGTACGTCAACCTTTTTGAAACCGGTGTGCCGCTAGCTAATCTCACCGGGAAGAATCACCCTCTCTATTCATCCACCTTTTTCCTCCGCTAGGAGAGGGACATTTTGGCCCAAGTCCAGCCGAGCTGAGGTAAGAGCATGTACAATAGCAGGCTATAAACCAGCTGCAAACATATTTTAAGGAGATAAATAAGGAGAGAGAAGAACAGCTGGCTACTGATTTATAGCTAGTTGTAGCACAGACTCCAAAACGCGATGTGTGTATGACAGATAAGACCATATATTAATAGTGTAGTATGTAACTATTGTATAAATAAGCTATTAGATTGACTATAGATTAATTGGAGCTATTAGTTGGCTATACTATTAAACTTGCTCTAACAGTAGCCAACTTCGCCACAGCAACACTCTCTCTCTCTCTCGCGAGCCGTGCCTGCATCATTGTTCCATGCAGGCGCAGGCCGTGTGTGAGTAGCATATGCACCACATGGTTCACCGCGACTTCGCTAAACCGTTTTCAGTTGGCGTGGTTAGTACTAGTAGTGCAGGTTAATCTAGCGCCACATGGGTGAGACTTGAGAGAGCTATAGTATTGTGTGGTCTCTGCTATGGTTGTAGCGAGCAGAGGGGGCAGGAGCGCGGCAGCCACAGCGCATGGGCGCGGCGCCGGCACGTGCGTGCGGGATGCACCCCCCGAAACACCGGCACACGGCGAGATGCGCTCGTCTCTCGCTCAACGGCTCAAGTGCTCGTGTTGGTTCTCGCTGGCTCGGAGAAGGCGTAACGTGGCGAGGGGGAATCGGGGGAATTCTTTTTGTGTCGCCAAAGGCCCTAGATTGCCTAAAAGGATTCTCTCGGGTGCACATGGGGCGCAACTTGGGGAGCCACAGAAAACGGTGAAGAAAAAAATCCACGGCGTGGCCGAGGATGATTGATTTGTTATCGCTGGTTGTTTGGGCTTTTTAAAGTCCGGAGTACGCACTAATGCCAACATGCTTTGCGTAGTTTAATTCGGTTGATGGTGAACAACGTTGGGCGTGACATCATCTGCTGTAGAAAAAACGTTAGTGTCCTACTATGGCTACATGTACCGGCAGATTTTGCCCTTAGGTCGTATACGTGAGACTGTCATGTGGGCCCTCCGTTTATTTTTCTTTTGTGGACCGCCTGTCAGGCAGTGTTGTTGAGGAAACGATACGGAGAAGCTGTGTCTGCAACGCTTTGAGATAAAAATTGTCCAACTGCTAGTACTTAGTAGTTGCTATAGCCATTTACCTCGTGTAAGTTTCCGGGAAGCAAGGCTGCACGAATGACAATACTAATAACAAAGCCTGCGTTGCTTTCTTCCTTTCTTTATTACCTTCCCGACTTTTTCGTCGTGGAGCAAACTGTCTGTTTTACTACAATTCAGGGCCGATATTTTCTCGGCGAGGAACGGAACGAACAATTTACCTCTGCCATTGATGACGGACCAGCTGCTGCAGGAGGTACCAACATGTCTATGATCTACTGTTTGTACACGGTATAGCAGGCGGCGACGACATTCAATTTCTGCATCGAACGTACAGTATGAATTCTGTTCAGAGGGCAACTGAATAATGGCCGCTTTAACTGTATTTTCATCAGAAAAAGAACATCTAATTGTAGCTGCAGCGTGAGCTCTAGTAGAGTACTCCCTTCGTTTCACAATATAAAACTTTCTAGTATTACCCATATTCATATACTTCATCCGTTCTACAATGTAAGTCATTCTAGCATTTCCCACATTCATATTGATATTAATGAATCTAGATTCATTAATATCAATATGAATGTGGGAAATGCTAGAATGACTTACATTGTGAAACGGAGGAAGTAGATGTTAATGAATCTAAACACAACTATGCGTTTAGATTCATAACATCTATATGAATATGGACAATGATAGAAAGTCTTATATTGTTAAACGGAGCAAGTAGTAAAAAAGCTACGCAACGAACACAGCATGGAGTACTAGGAAGGAAATCGACCGAACTAATGAGAAATCGGAGAGAGCTTTTTACGCCACTCACTTTTTCCATATCAACAGGTTGCATTACAAGCACACACACAATGACACAAAACGCTGCACCGGCTGCACGCACGCACCATATTTTTTTGCGAATTTGCAACCGTGCCAAGAAAGTAAAATTCACACACCAAATTGACTCCTCATCTCCTTGTTGCGGAGATCAGGAGGAAGGAACCGAACAATTTCATCGCGAAAAGAAAGACGCAGCCGGTTTGCTTCTGCTTCCCCGGGCTTGGCTTTCGTTCCCGTGGAACTGTTTGATCCGCGTGCGCTCGACTGGATCTTTCTCCATCCGCACACACGGTCATGGACAAGCTGTCTCTCGATCTCCTCCTCGTTTTTTCGGTTCTTGAGTTTCTCTAAGATCTACTGTTCCGTGACCAAAATTGTTTACCATGCCCAGACCGGGATCCTCGGGTGGCTCGCCTTCTGCTGCCTCTGCCTCTCCTGCTCTGCCCTCCCCGTCTGCTTCGATCTCTGCTCTCTCGCCTCGTCGATCTCGATCTGCTCCTGCCTGCACTCCTCGCTGCAGAAGGGCATGTCACCTCTGCAAGAACAGAAGGAATCACAACGCCATTAGAAACACATTCTTCCAGAGAGATTTAACCTGTCAAGAGACTGACGACAGTTGTGCTGAATATTTACCTGTACATGAAGATGTCTCTGTTTCCTCCGAGGGGTCTCCGGCAGCGGAAGCAGATGTCGAGGTAGTGGTGGTGGCCGAGGAGGTCGTCGGCGTCGTCGCACGGGTCGCAGAAGAGGCGGCCGCCGGGCCGCCGAGGCGACGCCGCGGGCTTCACGGGGGAGGCGGAGTGGCCGGAGAAGCCGGCCTCGATGTCGTCGTGGATGGAGGTGGGGTGGTAGCGCGCCATTTCTTGGCTTGGTTTGCTTCGGCCTTCGGCAAATGAGCTCTCTCTGTTTTCTCGTTTTTCCGGTTGGGAAAGGGGAGTGATGGCGGAGCGGGAGAAGCAACTCGGGTTTTATCATGGAGGGAGATGGACGGGAAGGGGAGATTTCCGAATTAGTCCTCCACTGTTTTGTGAATTTCTTTATGGGACTTGGTGTGTTTTGGCTTTGTGTAGTTACTGAAATCTACATCTACATTGGGCTCTTTTGTAAGATGGGATAATTGTGGAACTTTTTATATAGGCTGTGTTTGGAACTTCCGGTTCCATCCCCTCTCTCGTTTTCCGCGCACACGCTTTTCAAACTGTTAAACGATGCATTTTTTATAAAAAGTTTCTATACGTAAGTTGCTTAAAAAAATCAAATTAATCCTTTTTTAAAAAAATTAGCTAATACTTAATTAATCACATGCTAATAGACTGCTATGTTTTCCTTGCGGGGAGATGGATTCCCAATCCACAAGTAACGAACACAGATGTTCCTTGCTCATAAGAGCAGGTTTAATAGTATAGTCAACTACTAGCTCCAAATCATTTATAACTAATGTAATAGCCAATTTATATAATAATTACTTACTGCACTATTAATACCTGGTCCCATATGTCATACATTACGTCTTGGAGTCCGTGCTAAAGATGGCTATAGATCTATAGCCTGATGTTTTTTCTCTCTTCTTTTATCTTTTTAAAATATTTTTATAGCTGATTTATATTCTGTTATTATACCTGATCTAAGTGCGAAGTTAACATCTGCCGAGTTGTTTAGGCACAAATCTCAATCTCTATTCGAGCGTGTAGAGTTGTATTTGCTCCGTGACGGCACCAAGGAAAACAACAAGCACTAGCTATCAGAGGTAAAAAAGAAATGGCGCCTGAGACAGAGAGACCAATAGCACGGCTTCCACATATGATGTGTTTGATGCACTTGTCAGTCACACGATTACTAATTGGGCCATGGTCAAATATTACGAAAAATATACGAATTTTAAAACAAATTAAGTGGTTCTGTTATGGTGTGCGTCATTGTGCATCTCTCCCGTATGATCGAAAAGAAAGCAATAATGTATACACTAAAATTTGTGTTGTTGTCTAAAAATATTTATTATGTGGAGTATGTGTTACCATGGAAAAAACAACTTCTGGTTCAGTGCGTGGGCACCTTTCATACATAATGTAAATATTTAAAAAGGGTGTACTATTATTGTGTGTCTGATTGTGCATATCTCATGTATGATTGAAGAGAGAGTAATATTGTACTACCTCGTTTTTTAATACTTCCTCCGTTTCATATTACCCACATTCATATAGATGTTAATGAATCTAGACATATATATGTGTTTAGATTCATTAACACATGTATATATGTGGACAAGGCTATAAAGTCTTATAATATAAAACAAAGAAAGTACATAACATTGTTAACTTTTGAATACATGTTTAACTATTTATCCTATTTAAAAAGTTAAGTAACTGTTATTTATTTTGCTATGAGTTATTTTATACCAAAAGTTCTCTAATATGATTTATCTATACCATCTTAAAAGATTCTGGTGGTGGTGGTCCTGCCACCTCCATTTATCTGACAAGCAAGGATCACCATCTATCATATGGGCTCATCATTTTTTATCAGAAATGTACTAGAGTAAGAAGCTCTATTTTCTTCATGTACAGTGTACAACGTACTGTTTATCCTATCATCGTTAATTAGAGTTTGAGAGTGATGATTTAGTTTTAATCAGTTCATTTAATATAATTGGAGCCCGCTGTAACACACGAGTTTGCATCATTTTTTATCAGCAATGTACGGGTATTATACATTTACACAATATTTTTTTAATATTTTTTAATAAGATGAATGGTTAATCCTATGTTCAGAAGTCAATGGCGTAAAAAACAAAGATAGTGTAAATTCAAATTTGTGCTATAATCTGTACTTATTAAATTTGTCTTATCATGGAAAGGGTGTCTTCCGTATGATGCAAAAATGAAAAGAAAAAAATCATCTCAAAGTTCAATTATACATATTTGTATTTGAAAATTGTGAGTAGGACAAATATCGATTTAAAGTACTCCTAAGTTCACCTGGGCAGCAAATTAAAGGGGAATTTATTAATCGGACCCGCGTAACATAGCGTACAAACTCGCTTTCTCTAGAAGGCGTCAGGTCAGGTGACCAACAAGTTGCACGGCCGCAAGGCTGTCATCGTTGAGTGCCGTTGCTGCCGCGATGAATCAGCCTAGTGGTCCGGGCCCGGCCGCACTATTGTTCTACTTCCCGTACCACTGTTCATCTCATCAAGCAAGCCGGTGTCCGTCTCATGACTCGAATTATCAAACCAACCGTCTGATAGGTGCACGTATTTTTTTTCTCACCAAATCACGCAGTTTCTTGTTCACAACATGTCACGTCCGATTGGACGGACTGAACAATTCAGGTTCTTCTGAGCTGAGCTGAGCTGCCTGCAAGTAGATCGCCCTAGTGGCTGGCCGGTGGTTGGCTCCTGGTTTTTTGGTGGCCGCATTCGCCTTACGCATTTGATCGCTATCAGGCTTGGGATCTCATCTCACCACCCAAAACCAAAAACCAAACAGCAGCGCAGCCGGTGGTGCAGCTGCTTGATTTGACGACAATTCTGCTCAACCTGAAGGGAGGAAGGTGGGGGACCCGGCAAATTGCGATCTCGGAGGTTAATTTACTCGAAAGAAACCGGCCAATTGGAGGGCCTGGCCCCTACTTTGCGTCGCCTTTTCTTTTCTTTTTTTGCTTTTCTATCTTGTCGTTTTTGATGTACCGTGTGCTGTGTTGATGGCCTCTTTTTTAAGCGTGCCATGCAACTAGGGCGATAAAGGTATTGGTGCATGATTCGCATGAGAGAATGTGAGACTGATGAGTGTGGCGGGGGATAGGCACTGAAGGGCAACTATGCAAGTAGGAGTAGTAGCCAAAAGGATCAATTGTTTTTGGTTGCTTATATAACCTGAAATCTACGAACTACTCCGTACTTTTTTTTAAAAGAGGTTCTACGAGCTACTTGGAGTAACGTGACACATTTGTTCAAGTATAGAAACCGAAAAAATGACATGTATATTGCAGTGTTTCCACTAGTCCCCCACTACTAAAAGTTTTATTTTGCATATGGATCCTGGTGAGTGCTGTTTTTACAATTTCTATCTCTCCAAATTGTCGTCGTTTGCTCTAGGTCTGACAGGTTGTGGAAAAATATACAACGAAACCATAAATAATTTATGGTATTGAAAAATAAGCTACAATGATAAACCTCAAAACTAACTCTAAAATTAAGTTTAAAAATTTAAATTAATTTTGACTATGGTTAATAAACTAACAAGTAAACGATAATAAGAACAACGCTTATAGCATTGTGTCACATAATTTATGACATATATGCAACTTACGACGAATATGTGGAAAACTAGCGTATGTGTGAAGCATCTTGCGTGGTAGCTTATGTGACACAAAGTAAAAATGGAGTCACGATATAAAAGTTGTATTGTTATTTTTGCTGTTTTGAGGGGACTATTTCTACAAAAGTTTTGCTATGAATATGTTAAAAAAATGTTTCCAATTTCAACCCCCATCAGTCATGTGCTCATTCTTCTTCCCTCCAATGGTTGAAGCTATTCCAACTCCTTTTAGAACTTAATTTTAGAATCAATCTAGGAGTCTAAGAGTAGAAGTATGAAAGTATTGCCCTCGAAATTATTTTTAGTTGATCGATCACGCATGTTTGGCTACATAAGCCATAGCTATAGAAATACATTCTAGTCAGGCTCTTAATTTATTGTTAATTTACTATACCATACCTCATACCACATGAAACTATTAGGATTGTTAAAAGGCTATATCTTTGATAAACAAGATGAAACTTTGTTAGTGTAAAGCTTAAAATCAAGGGCTTAAATATAAATACAAGAAAGTTGAAGACAGATTGGAATACATATATATATATATATATATATATATATATATATATATATATATATATATATATATATATATATATATTACATGGACTTCCATGTAAAGTTCCTTTTTTTTAAAAAAAACTTATTGATTGCTTATACATCATACATACGGTATGGCCTTGTCAAGGTCGCTTTCTTTGACACCCAATACATTGGATGACACCTTTCATAATAAAAAAGAATCTCTCTCCATCAAGCTCTTACAAACAGTACGAACCGGTCTCACCACTGATAATTTTTATACAGAAATCAGAGGCAACTCCAAGTCATCAACCACCTTTATTAAGTTGGAGTAGGTCTCCATGTTAATGATGTCAATAATTGATGGATTTTTTAGTGCTATTGATTGGCCAGTTTTTTGTGCTTACTTCACTCCTCACACACGAAATATATAAAACGAGAGCCTTTAATTTATTCCTACACTAAAAATTGTAGGATTTTTTTCTGCTCCCAGAATTTTCTCCCTTTTTTAATCAAAAGCGACATCTGAATATTAATTAGTCGCTGCTGGTTTCATCGACGAGCTTGATGGATACGTGTTTTGTTTCGACTTGCACGTCAGTGTCACCGGCGGAAGCCAGTGGCCACCGCACGCAGTATAACGCTAGCTGTATCGTGGGCGTACGTCGCCTTCAGATCTTGCCTTTTTTTTTTCCTTTTTTTCCACAGTTTGTTTTCTGCCGATTGCTGGTGCTTTTACGACGTGTGATGCTGTCGCGCGCGACGGAAGCCTGAAAATCGCTAGATTCACAAACAGGGAAAAGGGCGCTCCTGAACGCGCAGAAATGCAGCATGTCGACATGCAGTTGTGTATCTGGGCCCCTCCCCTCTCAAGCATGGACGGCTCTGAATTTTCAACATGCCGACCCCGTGCTGTCCGAGATGAACTGCCAGGTTAAGTTTTATATGGATGATTTGGGGACGAACTGATCCCATAACTTAACCTGGCACAGTTGATTTTTAGTCACTTAATTACTGGACTTCTTTGAAACCTTCTAGTCACCTAGTCGCAAGTGGCAGAGGAGGCTAGAATGCATGCAGAGAGCAATATTCGTGGTTTCATTTTCAGTGAAAGAATTCATAGAACAATGTTCAGGATGTTGAACGAAGCTGCGTCCTTTTGTCAAAAGATTGGACTATGATATGATGAAAACAATTCTTTGTACATGCAGTCACACTTGACCAAGCCTACTAGATGACTGAATGGTGAAGTACTGCCTTGATTATTCAACAGCAAAATTATTGCGATGGCTTATATATGCTAGATTCTTCTTCTCAAAGAAAAACAATAACAAACAGTTCTGGCTGAGTCACCAGTGACCAATAAAGATTCTTAAATTCCGCACAAAAGAACCTCTATATTCTCCCTCCCAAAAAAGAATATTTAGAAGAACCTTTCGTACGAACATCAGTTACAGAAAATTTCCACAGTATATTAGTGACTCAATCTATGCTAGATGTATGTGCCTACGGAAACTGTGGCCTTACTTAACTATATCTTCTCTTTAAAAAATCAAGTAAAATACTCAAGGGTATCATCCAATTGTCGCCAATAAAGATTCCTGTAAAAAAAAAAGTCGATCGGACACTGCGGGAACAGTTTTCTGATAGTCAAGAAGAAGGGAAGAAAACGTAGCATCTCTAGCTAATTTCTTATGACAACCGACAAGATTTTCTTTTATCTTAAAAAAAAAATCTACCGCAAACAATGGATTCAGTTTCTCAACTACCCAACATAAACTTGATGCGGTGTTAGCTACTCAAGTTAGCATCAACCAAACGGAGAAAACAGGTCAATATTTTGTTCTCTGGACAAACTAATTCAACTCCCGTACAATATTTAATTTTAACTACACATTTATTTATGTGAAGAAGAAATCCCAAATAATAACTACTAATGTTTTAATATGTCGAGGATGTCTTGTAGATAGAAGATAAACTAACACACTGCAGCGTTTCTCAAAATAAAAACAGACACATTGCAGCGGTGTCCAAAAATTTTAGTACACAAATGTAGAAGTACGTGTATGATGGGTAGACTATTGGTGCCTCAAACTTTTCCAATTGTATGTAGATATGTGGTAGTGTGGGTAAAAATCCGAGCTAAATGTTTGTGCCTTGATGTACTTAAAAAGAAAACGAGGATTGCTAGACCACTTAATGCAATCCGAATGACATAGTTAATAAATATAATACCCATACACTCGCATGATAACCATTTCCACAAGCCCGAGCTCAAATGCACAAAAGGAACAAACCAGCGGTGCTCCAACCCTGCCTGTAGGCAAGACCAAGGATCCAGGCACTTGCGTCGTCGCCCTCGGCGGTGTGCACCCCTTCCATTCATTCGAGTTGGACACGAGCGTTGTCCCACCACCGCTAGTATATGATTGATGTCCCCTCTCTACAGCCACAAATGCCGATGCACTAAGTTCGTCCCCTTGCCTCGTGCTCGAGGTTACCGGATGGATGGTACGATCACCGCCGCCAAGGTACCAGACCTAGCATAGTACCTCGTACCAAACCTGATATCTCTAGGTATCAGTCGTTACCTATAGATATCAAATAGTATAGGTTAATGTGGTGCACCGTTACACCGCCCCACTGCACAAAGAGGTGTGCTGCCGTGATGGCTACCTCCCATCTCCTCGCCTAGGATCTCCGTCAAGCAGACTTTGCCTCCCGCCCCTCAGCTCCACCCGGTGCTGTCCACTATCGAGGTGGCCCCTCGATTGCCTTAGGGTGGCGAGGTGTGATCGGCGGTGGTGGAAGGCCACGTACAGCGATGGGTGAGCTCACTGAAAACCAGATGCACACGGTGGCTATTGGCCCGGAGGGAACGAAAGAGGAAGAGGAGGTAGGGAAGCGGAGAGGACGCGATGAAGAGCATGGGGGAAGAAGAGGCTAGAAAGTTGAGTAGGCACAAACGTGGATTTCATTAATCTATACCTGTAGAAGAACCCGATATTGTTCTTTTGAAAGAAAAATAACTACTCGCCTCTAAATGATGACTATGAATGAATCAACATTTGAGAAAATTATTAGCTAATGCTAGGGCACATTTGGCAAGGGTGATTTGAATTAGATGTGTCCTCACTTTTCGTAAGCATGTTTTCCGACTTGCTAATTGGTACAATTTTTTAAAATTAGATATATAAAAATCATATTAATCTATTTTAATATTTTAAAAGATAGTACTCCCTCTATCCCATAATATAAGGTGTGCACACATTCCAATATTCAACTTTAAAAACATTTGACCAATAATTATAATAATATAAATTAAATTTTATTTGCTAAAATTAATATCATTGGATTGACATTTAAATTTACTTTAAGATAGTTATAATTTTGTTGCAATAATCCTTATAGTATATGAAAAATTATATGTCAGAGATTAATTTTGAAGACTGTGCCAAGTTTGACTATGCCATATATTATGGGATGGAGGGAGTACGACTTAATTAATTATATGGTAATCAATTTTTTTCGTGAGGCTAATCAGTTCAGCCAACGCTCATCTTCATACTCACACTTTAGACTGACATGCGGGCCGTTGCCACTAAAACCACTAACAGGGCCCACATGTCTGGTGGCATTGACTTTTCGCTGTATGATTAACCAGCATGAACCAAACAACAACAGCTCATCGTTTCATAAGCACATTGTCTCCAGCTACTTAGGCGGGAGGCTCTCACTGGCTAGTCCTACTCATGACTCGTCGTACATCATACTCATTGCTGACTCAGACTCGTGCACATGCATGCTAGATCTAAGCCGGCACACGTGTACCAGCTGCTTAGCCAACATGAGTAATCAAGCTTCTACCAATTCCTTTCTTTACTTGCACATCAACTAATCCCCTCTGCTTAATTTACTTGGACAAACAGGAGCCCTTGCTGCTGTTTTCCCAGCAAAGGAGAGGAGTATAGAAGACCACGAATTAACTATCCATGCGTTTGGTGATGGAGTCATGTGCTCGAATCTACACGTACGATTAGGCAGCCTCTAAACTTTTGCTTAAAAGCCTTAAACTAAGTAGGCAACCGTCATACACTCCCAAATCATAATGCTTATTCCCTCCGTCCTTAAAAAAATCTTAATTCCTAGGTTTTCGTGACTAACATTTGACCGTTCGTTTTATTTGAAAAAGTTACGAAAAAATTTAAAAAGATAAGTCATGTATAAAGTATTATTAATGTTTTATCATCTAATAATAATAAAAATATTAATTATAAAAAAATCATATAAGACAGACGGTTAAACGTTGAACACCAGAAACTAAAAATTGAGTAGGGCACCTAGATGGCCAGCCTTTTGCCCACGAATCAGACGGCAGCACCACATGGTTAGGCACGCACACTGCAACGGTGTGTCCAGATTCCAGAATAGGCCAATCGTGGAGCTAAGCTCCTCCTCCAAACGACGGGAATCATGGCAGATGTTGGTGCTGCACGCCATGTACAGAAGCACACACCTAGTGATGCGGAGACGCTTGACGCATCTGCAGATTCCGGGCGAGACGCAAGCAAAACAACCGTACACGTATGCATCAACGCACGATGGGTCACACAACTCACACACACAGCCTTGCGCTCGAAGCTGGGCGGGTTTTGTTTAGTCGAGAGCGTGCCAGGTTGCGCCTTGGGAAAACCGCGGGTGGAGCTTTTGTTTTGGCTTGTGGGAGAAACACCGGCTAGCTAGCTCCCCACACTCGAGTGGCTCGACAAATACTAGTAGTACGCCTCTTTGCGCAATTGCACGCCTGCTTTTAATTTGTTGCACAGAGAAACGTACGGGAGCCAATGGGGTCTCGCGTTGCCGGCGAGGCCTCTTTCCGGGAAGCAGGCAGCGGCCATTGTCGAGATTGGTGCACGGCTTTTTTTTTAACCTGCAACTTCACGGAGAAGCGCAAAGCGGATTCTGGCGTTATTCACCTCGAGAGGCCTAAGAGCAACTTTAATAGCATAACCCACTGCTAGCTCCAAATCATCTATAGCCAATTAATACAATAGTTGTTTACTATACTATTAATACCTGATCCCATATATCATACACACATTACGTCTTAGAGTCCGTGATGCAGCTGGCTATAGCTATAGATCTGTAGTCCGCTGCTCTTCTCTTTTTCTTTATCTCTCTAAAATATGTTTATAGCTGGCTTATAGACTGCTATTGTACATGCTTTAACAGGATGGCACATTGGCAGGAAATTGTATTGTATGAGTGGAATGCATCGAATGGCTGCATAAAGGAGATGGTTTGAATTGTCGCTGCCACGGGCAGGGGCGGGCATGGACGGTGCCCGTGCATGCGCTGTCACGGCCCCCGCTTCAGCGGTCTGACACATGTTGGGTTCATGCATCCGTCCGCGACGTGTCGCGCTGCCTGAATCGCTGTGTCCCTGGAGTTTTCTCTTGCTTTCGGTGAAAGCTAGGCAACAGAAACTGGAGAACGGATATTTTTGCTGCAGTAATTCCTTGCGAGGTGAACCTAATTTTCTCGTAAATTAGTCTCGACCTGTACACGCACAGGCGAGATTGATTGTTCTCGTAAATAGTTGAAACTGTAACTGGGGATGAAAAAAAAATCTTAGGAACGGCTCCGTTGGGGTAGCTATGTTTTCTCATCACAACTCTGATGATTCCCATGGCCATCTGATCTATTGGGGATTTTCCACAGCAAATTGATTCATAAGGGACATACCCTAATTGCATTAGAGTACGGTGAAATCGCGATCATATGTTACTTGAACTCGTGATTCTGCTAAAAAAATTGCATTGTAGGAACTTGGAAACTTTAAAGCCTTCCCAACTGCTTTGGATTTACAAAGTGATGATACACTCAGGCTCTAACGCGCACGCTGGCGCACAAACGCGACACGACCCGCAAAAGGGCGCCAATCTGAGAGCCAAGACAAGGTCGACCCGAGCGACCCACATGGCAAAGATCTCATCTTGCCGATGAACTTCCTCAGACTCTTCTCCGGCGCCGTCGGGCATCGCGGCCTTGGAGAAATCAATCTCCTTCGTCGCCGCATGTTGATGCGTGGCTTAGCTCTTGAAATCTCGTCTGGATTCAACGCCAATTCTTCTCAGCTGATCATTATATTATCGACGCAGCTTGATTAGCTCGCCACGGACACCTTCCTGGTCTCCCGGTGCCCGCGCCGCGAATCCGCCCTCCCGGAGTACTGCTGCTGCTGCCTCCGTCCGGCCGACCTCGCGTACACCGCGTCGAGCTGCATCTGCTCGTAGCGGCACTCCTCGCTGCAGAAGGGCGTGTCCCCCTTGTACATGAAGATGTCGCTGTCCCTCGTGAGCTGCTTGGTGCAGAGCGCGCAGGCGTCCAGCGCGTGCCTGCCCTGCTCGCCCACCGGCTCGGCGTCGAAGAAGAAAGCGCAGGCAAGAGACGCCGCCATGGTGATGATGTTTATCTGAGAAGCGTTTTCTCGGTGGTTTGTGCTTTTGGCTAGTGGGAAGAAGAAGCGAGGCGATGAGTTGTTGGTGGAGCTCGAACGAGTGGGAGTGCGGGGATTATATGCGCAGCTCGGTGGGGCGTCGCGTCGCGCACGGGCGGGTGGGAGGGGAGAAAACCGTGGTTCCGCGCCGAGCTGCGGGCGAGACGGCACACGGGTCGGGGAGGCGGGTTCGCGCGCCAACCGGAGGCGGGATGGTGGCGGTTCGTCTTGTCTCACTTTTTTTTCAATTCGGGCCTGGACCACGGTGCCGTGTAGTGGTTGGGTTGGGTTCGGCTTGGCTGCCTTGATGGGCAGCGTCAAGTACGTGGCGGACGAGAACGACAGGAATCTAGAGGGGGGGGGGGGGGGGGGGAACCGCACCAAAGACGTCCCTGTTGTTGTTACAGGGACGTGGAGTCAGTACTCAGTACCGCCCAAAAACCGTGGGCTAGGCCATTACTCACTGCTCTATCAGCAAGTGGTGATAATGCTTGCGGCTTGCTACGCTTTCTGCAGCAAAAGCGAGGTGCAACAATATATTCGCGGCAATAATCAATCGGAAAGCACTTGGCGCGGCTCTCTTAGTCGGAATCGTGTGCATCAGCATCAAATCTACATCATTACACGGCCCTCTAAACAGCGGCTTATAAACTAATCATGTGCCTTAGGGTTGATAATTAGCGCGCCAGCCTTTTTGCCAACATATCGGGCAGGCACCCGCACATGGTTTGGCACGCTAAGAGCAAGTTTAATACTATAGCCCACTACTGTCTTCAATTCATCTATAGTCAATCTAATAGCTCATTTATACAATAGTTACATAGTACACTATTAATATCCGGTCTCACTTGTCATACACACGCTGCGTCTTGGAGTCCGTGCTATAGCTAGCTACAAATCTGTAGCCCGCTGCCCTTCTATCTCCTCATTTATCTGCTTAAAATATATTTGCAGCTGACTTATAGCCTACTATTGTACCTGCTCTAATAATTGAGGGCAATTGCTTCCCTTCCCCCACTGCCTGGTTTGCCCCACCTAGCACCATAGTAGTAGTGAGCATCGACGTGAGCTTTCAAGAAAAAAAAAGGAAATTCAGGGCCTTCTCTTTTCTTTTTCTCCTTTTTTAATTGTGTGCTCCATGGGAATCTTGGGCGAGTGTGGCGCGTGCATGCACGCCAGGTAGCACCGTGTGAACAGCAAGTTGGATGCTCCGCAAGTTGGCACGTATTCTACGTACTAATTCCCCTTCTTTGCAAGCGAACCGTGCAGCATCGGTGATTTTTAATAGTGAACCCTTTGGAGAGAAGCATATACTTAGGGGTGTTTAGATGGGGTTAAAACTTTTTAGCCCATGTCACATCGGATGTTTGGACGCTAATTAGAGTATTAAACATAGATTAATAAAAAAACTAATTTCATAAATAAGAGCTAATCCGCGAGATGAATTTTTTAAGCTTAATTAATCTATAATTATCAAAAGTTTACTGTAGCATCACATTGTCAAAATCATGTCGTTATTAGACTAAAAAATTCGTCTCGCGAATTAGTCCAAGCTTATGGAATGAGTTTTGTAATTAGTGAATGTTTAATACTCTAAATTAGTGTCTAAACATTCGATGTGAGAGGGACTTATTCCAAGTCCCTGAAAACCAAAGAGCCCCTTAGGCAGATGATTATATTTGCTGTTTCATTAGCCGTTAGATCTCGCCAGGTTTCGCCTCGGCAACCGAGCACGTTTTTTTCAGCGGTAGAAGTGGTCAGTGGGGGAAGCATCCTAGCAGACTCAGCGGCTTGGCACGCCACGAGATTCCATTGGTAGTTTACGGCTGCTGCCCTCGGCCCGGGAAAACGGGAGAGATGGGTGGCATCCATGGCGTTGCCGGCCGGTCAGGCAGGCAGGCTTCGTCCTGGGAGGCAGCTTTTCTCGAGATCCGCGCGCTGTTTAGTTTAAGTGCACTAGGCTTAGCACTGAAGCATTGCACGTAATCATCGGGGTTTGCGAGGTAAATCTCGTGATGGAGATACGCCCGTACTACTAAAATCCTCATTAGTGAGGTACAACCAGCATAATTTGTGCTATCCTCACACAGATTAAGCAGCATGCGTGGTGAGAAATGTTTCTACGTCGCGGTAGCAGGACAGGTCCCTCCAGTTTGTCGATTGGAAGTATTCGCCTCTGGGTCACAGATGTTGGGCGATGAGTGGGGATCACATAATAAAAAGTGGTGCTGCATCTGATGGGCGTGGGCGGCGTCGTTACGTGCTGCTGCATCCGCACCGAGTCACGCTCTGCCTGGTAGCAATCGGACACATGTTCGGTCCTACTACAGTAGGTCCAGCCAAAGCCGTGACGCATCGCTTTATTTGGACTCAGCAGCGTGACTCGGTGATGAGTAGGGTGTGAGCAGAGGAGTTGAAACGTTCAATGGATCTGACGTTGGAGCCCCTATCATTTCCTCCACTTTGGTCTTTTCTTTAGTTGTCTAAGTGGTTGTTACCTCGCCCACTGATAATCCAATTTTCTTAAGCAGCAGTTTACGTGGCGTTTTCTACTTAAAAAAACAACAATTAGCATCAAATCAGCTGATTTCCCACTTTCTTGGCACACATGATCAGTACTACTACTTCAGTAGTGTTCTCGTTTACTACCAGTTCATGGAAACAACGCCAGACTGAAGGAGAAAACAGTTTTACCGCTCGTTCACTAAAAGAACAGTTTAAAGTGTACAGCTTCAAAGCAGCAGACGAATAAACAGACTTGCTCGAATAACAGACTTGCTTTGAGAGCTTGCAGCGTTTGACAGATTTTTTATGAGGGCTCAAATTATGAAAAGTCACGGGTGTTTCATACTCCTAAAAGAGTAGACACAAATATGATTCTGCTCAAAAAATTATGGCTCAATAGAACTTCTCGGAATGCCTCGAATATTTACAGCGGAATTGCTCTTCACACCAACTCAGATCAGCTCCTCATACAAAAGGAGCCAACCAAAAGGGGAAAAAAAAGAGAAGCACACATGGCCTAAATTAAACCATGGTGCCTGGTGAATCTCGGAGTCCCTTCCTCAGATCCGTCCTTTCTCTGCTTCGACTCCGACCAGATCCATCCATCGGCACAGCGGCCGGCCAGACATGAGCAAGAACAACTCCTTCATCACATCTTGCAAGCTCACGCTCGTCTACCTAAGGTATGCAGCTCATCAACAGCTCGCCACGGACACCCCCGCCTTCCGGGACACGGGCGCCGCCGGCGCGGTCTCGTGCCTGCTCCGCTGCCCCTGCTGCTGCTGCTTCCGCCTGGCGCTCGCGGCCTGCCTCGCGCAGGCGGCGTCGAGGTGCATCTGCTCGTAGCGGCACTCCTCGCTGCAGAAGGGGGTGTCCCCTCTGTACATGAAGATGTCGCTATCGCGGCGCAGCGGCTTGGTGCAGAGCGCGCAGGCGTCCAGCGCGTGCCGCCCGGTCTCGCCGACCGGCTCGGCGTCGAAGAAGAAGGCGCATGCGAGGGACCGTGCCATCGAGAATCTCCCAAGCTTTTCTTGGCTTTGCAACCTTTTTTTGCTTGTGCTTCGGAGAAGAGAGTGAAGTGAGGAGGTAACCGTGAAGGGGACAGGGGCGGGGTATATAACCATGCGGGGGAGAGGTAGGCGACAAAGCAGCGGCGGGGGTGACGTGGTGCGGAGGCGGAAAGTGGAGGAGAGTGGGGGAAGGGGGGGAAACCGTGGGTGGTTCTGGAAAACCGGTACGCGAGACGGCCCACCGGCTGGGGAATACCAGAGTCCAGAGCCACCAGCGTGGCGGAGACGGGACCTCTTTTTTTTTTTTTTTGTACGAGTAGTGGCTTTTCCGTGGCAATGGCCCAGTGGTGCAGCCGTTGGGCAGGTGGGCTCCACCGCGCGGAAACGACGAAACAGCGCGTTGGATCCATCGTGCCATGGACTCATCTTGACGTGGCACACAGCTGGATGGCTTCACGAGCAGACATGGGAACACTGTACTCCTACAGTCCTACTACCAGCAAATCTGTTGTTGCTAGCTGGAGTCGCCTGGTTCAACGAGCGAAGCTTAGCTTCCGCTTTGTAACACAAAACAGCCGGGCCTGAGGCTAACACGACCAACCCACATAGACCCATCAAAAATAGGTTGATGTGGGCTGCTTCTTTCGGGTGGGTTGGGCTGTTTGCGTAACACCTGTAATAGGAATAAGTTCACCGGAGGTCCCTCAACTTAACAGTGAGATTTTTTTGAGTTCCCTCAACCACAAAACAGAAATGTATACCTCTAGACTCACTAAAACCGTTCACCGGAGGTCCCTCGGCAGTATTTTTACCCGGTTTTGCTGACGTGGCATCCTAGTCAGCAAAAAAAACACGTGGGGCCCACATGTCAGCTTCACATCTTTTTTCTCCTCTTTTCTTCTCCTTCTCTCCTCTTCTCTTTTCTTTTCTCTCTGAGCAGCCGCGCGCCGTGGCCGCCGTCGTCGTCGGCTCTCCACCGTCGTCGTCGCCGTGGGCGAGGCTACGCGGCGCGGCCGTCCGGCGGCGGAGCGGAGGCAGCGGGCGGAGCGGCGAGCACGGATGCGGGCGGGGCAGCGGAGGGCGAGCGCCTCAACGGAGCAGCGGAAGGCGCGAGCGTGGCGGCGGGCCGAGCAGTGGAGCGCGAGCAGGCCGCGGACAGAGTAGCGGAGCGCGAGCGCGGCGGCGGAGCGGCGGCGAGTGAGCGCGGCGACCAGCGAGTTTGGGAGGGAGGGGGAGGCGGCCGGCGACCAAGAAACAATCGCTTCCTCTGCCTCTTCCCCTTTTCCCGCCAGTGGTGCCTCTCCTAGCATCGTCAGCCACCCGCGGGGGCACGGCGGTGGTGGCGACCGAGCACGGGGGAGCTCCTCGTCCCTTCCACTGTCTTCCGCTTCGCCTAGCTCGCCCTCCGCTGCTTTGCCCACCGCTGCGCTCGCCCGCCGCCGCTCCTCCGCCGCGCTCGCCTTCCGCTGCACCCCCTGCATCCACGCTCCTCCGCTGCACGTAATGGCATATATACATGTGAGTGTGCTCAGCCATATACACATGCTTGGCTAATATATACGTCTGCATGTTATCGGGCGGCAAACCAACAAGAAGCTAGCTAGGCTATAGCTGGTCGTCTCCATGCATGCATATATATGCTCATACGAAGACGCATGTACATGCGGCCGTCTGTACCCGGCGTATATGCGTATGAGCTACGACGTCAAGTGCTACCGCGAGGTCGGCGAAGACGACGAGGGTCACCGCGCCCGCGCCGACCACCGTCCACGACGCCGATGGCACGCCGAGCGTGGACACGCTCCTGCTGCAGCTGCGCGAGCTGGGCGTCCGGGAGGACCATGGGATCAGGCTGGCGACGCTGCCGCCGCCACCACTGCCGCTGCCGCGGCATAGGAGGAGCGTGAGCGACTGGGGTGCATCATCAGCCGGCACTTTGAACCACCTATGCACGGCCACTGCGACGCCTGGCCGATGTCGCCGAACGGCCGCGCCGTGTAGCCTCGCCCACGGCGACGACGATGGTGGAGAGCCAACGACGACGGCGGCCACGGCGCGCGGCTGCTCCGCCCGTAGCCTCCGCTCCGCCGCCGCGCTCCGCTGCCTCCGCTCCACTGTCGGGCTCGCCCGCCGTCTGCTCCGCCCACAGCCCGCCACCGCTCTGCTGTTGCGCTCGGCCATCGCGGCTGCGCCCGCCGCCAGCCTGAAGGAGAAGAGAGAGGTGAGAAGAGAAAAGAGAAGAGAAGGAGAAGAAAAGAGAAGAAAAAATATGTGCAGCTGACATGTGGGCCCCACGTACCTTTTTATTTTTTTTGCTGACTAGGATGCCACGTCAGCAAAACCGGACAAAAATACTGCCGAGGGACCTCCGGTGAACAGTTTGAGTAAGTTTAGGGGTAGACATTTCTGTTTTTGTGGTTAAGAGACCTCAAAAAATCTCGCTGTTAAGTTGAGGGACTTCCGGTGAACTTATTCCAATGTAATAACACTTGTCTATCTCCACATTGGACGTTTTGACAAGAAGTGGGTCGTATGTGTGAGGATAACACTTATCTATCTCCGGGTGGAAGGATATCTTTGTGTGAGGATATAACAAGTCCCAACAGACAGATCCCGTTAACTTCCAATGGAAGAAGGCCTAGCAACATCTCTTCTCTACTACTTAAAAAATCTATAGTGGTGACGGTAACTCCATACACGCGGAATATGGATCATGGGATCGGGAGATCAGACGGTGCTGAGGGATCCCATCGCACGCGCTCCTCCCCTCCGCCTGCGATGCATCCCCTCCCTGAGGGATCCCCTCACGGTCCTCCCCCTCGACTCGCTTTTCTCCCCACAAGGCAGCTCGCGCTCGCGAACCCGCCGACGCTGCTCCTCCGTTAGCCCCCGTTGCTCCGCATCACGCAGCACCGCGCCCCCGCAACCCATCATCCCTCTCGTCGCCCTATCTCCTCTCCTCCCTTTCCCTCTTGCATTGCCGTCGCTGCCGCCGTCATCGTCGCGTCTCCTCACCATCGATCGGGATCGGACGTCGGCCAGTCCCTCCTCGCCTCCATCCCCAATCCCCTCGCCCTCTTGCACCTCCATCACGACCAACGCACGCCACACTAGCGCCGCCTCGCCAAGCGCCACGACCTCCGTCCCGCGACGCCGCCACATCCCCAGGTGCCCATCTTCTGCCGCCCACTGTCGATCCCTCGTCGTCGCTCCACCTCCATAGCAGATCCCCTCCCTGGAACCCCCTCCCCTTCCCACACACCACTCCCTCCCATTGACGCACCTTGATGCACGTCTCCCCACCTTTTGCCCGATCGCCCCCGGAACGGATGGATGGATGCCTCCACGGCCACGCTGCCGGTCATCGAAGCGCCCTGGCCACCTCCGTCATCGTGTCTTGCCCGTCTCCTTCGCGATCAGCCGTCCCACCCGGCGTCGACGCCGGGAGTCTGGAGGGACTCTCCAATTGGTCCTGTCACCTATGATCTTGGTCCTGTCGATGTCCGCCTCTGCTACACCACCTATGATTTTGGGTATGGAATAACTGATTTATCTTGTGATGGTTAGGGATTCATGTTTTGGATTTTTTTTTTTTTGCTTTGATTCCCTTCAAGCTAAGGAAGAAGTTTGTACTTATTCAGTGTTTCAGTATGTTGTATCTAGAACTACAAATACAAATACATGATATGGTTGATGATCTGCAATTCTTCTTCACTATATACTGTCTGTGTTAATCTTTTAGATTGACCAATTTGGGATTATCAGAAAAATGTTTCTAGATTATCAGAAAATGTCATGAAGTCTTGTATGTTTCTAAATTATCAGAAAATTTCCTTCAAAAAAAATAGGGGCTATTGCATTCTTACCCCTATTTTGAAGTTCAATTGTGATTTTGCCCTCGCTTTTTAGGGTTTGCGTTTTTACTCCTACTTTTTTGAAACGAAGTAGAGATTTGTCCCTGGTTTGGATGGTCAATTTAACGGGGTTAAGTCGAGCACGAAAAGACTTTTATGCCCTTGCTAGCTATTGCATATTTGCCCCTACTTTTTAAACAACACTTGTCTTTTTACCCTTATTTTGTACTGAGCTTTCGTGAAATGATTCAAAATCCGTATGAAAATCTAATGGCGCCACATTGCATGAACATGAATGATGTCTATGAATGGTAAGTTCATTAACATCCTGTGTCTTACTGCATAAGTGCATAGTATCAGCCACATCAGGTATCTTCATGTTGGTCAAGTCCTTTCGATCTGATGAACCCGTCAAGAGCAGGATTCATCACCAATGGTTTGCCGCTCCGAGGAGTCGCTGCCATCGCCTGCTGCTCCTGCCATAGCGCTGAGGATCGCCGTCGCTGCCAGGTACTCCTGCCGCCTCCTGCTGCTCGCGACGCCGTGTTGAGGAGCCATCACCGCCGCCTTCCGGCCTCGCCGAGGAGTTGGAGCCGCAGCTTGCTCCTGGCCACGCCGAGGAGCTGCGCCGCCACCTGCTCCCGGCCGCGCTGAAGAGCTGCTCCACCGCCTGCTTCTGGCGCCGCCGCGCCAAGGACTTCGGGATGGGAATGGATCTGGGGGAAGGAGGATATCGAACATGTACTGATGCACACCCACATATATTACTTAAGGGTACAATGGTAATCCCATATTTCCAAAATTATTTTTCTCTTCTAATTTCTCTTTCCTTAACTGAATATTGTGGGACCCACCTAACTGCCATCCATAGTAGGGGCAAACGGCAACTTCGTTCAGAGAAAGCGGGGGTAAAATTGCAAACGCTAAAAAACTGAGTAAAATCACAATTGAGATTGAAAGCTGGGGTATAAACACAATTCTCCCAAAAAAATATTATGAGAAAATGAAAGTGTTGTAAACATGACTGCTTGTTTTCCATTGCCAAACAGACTCCATTTTGGATTTTATTAACCAATATAGTCTGTATTGTCCTGGTTATTACAACAAATCACTTGTTGCTCTCAAGTGCGAGATTTAGCCATCAAAGCTAGATGGAGTAAAAAGATTTTGTTGTTTCCACCATCCTCTGCTTTTGGTAGATGGAGTAAAAAGATTTTGTTTTAAACCTTTCTGATGGTTAATAAAGCTGTTTTTTGGTGATCCATTAAGCTAGCAGCACTTACCGTGGACTGAAGATGCTGATTAAGTCTTCTCCCGCTCGCAGACAACACAGGTCTGGCTTCCTCTCAGCCAATCTCTCCCAACCTCCATCTCCAAGGTAGCATCACTATTTTCCCTTTCTTTTTATTTTCTTGTGTGTTGGCTCCTAGCCTCCTACAGACAGCTGCGGAATCAAGAGGCCCTATGGCTGTGTATCTTAATGTTTACTCGATTTCTGCTCAAAATGTTTCCTCTTTTATTTATAAGAGACTGCAGCCATCTTGTTTGATTTCATTTCCTTTTTGTCTATTCATTTTTCAGTGCCTGGTCTAATAATTCAGAAAGATAGCTGGGTAAACCTGCATAGAATTTTCAAATTCATATGAATTCTAATTTTCCTTCCGGGGGTACTATGGCCGATTCAAGAAGTGTCCCACAGAAAGGTGTGCGTCCTTCACTGTTCAAGGTTCAAATGAATCCTCACGAAATGTAAAAACAGGTGACTTACGACATCATTGATTGGTGACCCTGTTAGATTATTTTTCTTTTATTGATTATGGTGCTGTAGAAAAGAGGTTTTGCTGTACTAACATTGTATAGGATATAATACCAGGGCCAAACATTTGGGTGGTTTGTATTAATGCTCTTCTTTTTCTAGCCAATCACTTCATTCAGTTTGACAATATGTATATCATTTTTTGTCCTTAACATTAGAATGGTAATGCTTTAATGCAGCCAACTTTTTTACAAAATATTCTAAGCATAATTTCCAAGATTGCCTTAATGAAATGATTGTCAGACATAGATGCACGTGCCTTTTTCTTGCATTATGAAATGTCAGATAAATTTATTTCAAGTTACTACTTGCAAAGTCGTCAAATCTTAGTCGAGCAAAAGTCAGCAGTACACAATCTGCACATATACGGTACCGTTCATTTCGAGCAATGTCTATACATGAAAGTCCTTTTTTAGCAGTCAATTCCATGGTCCCTGCAAGTGTACATTCTATTTGACAATGCCACGTTTATTATGATTTTGCATGCTTATGCATGATATTATCAAGCTGATACTTCGCAATTTCCAGATTTATCAAGTTTTGAGTTAAATTTCTATCAAATATTGGTTATTTACAGTGTCAGGTTGTCTAAAACAAATACATGATTTTTCTGATTGTGTCCACATTTTGGAGTTGTAGAAGTGCAGGGAAAGCTAGGCAAATCAGTTGAGAGACCGAGAAGCTGAGCATTAGATGGATTTAGGGCACTACATGCCTTTGGCACTTCTTAAGCCATAGCCACAGTATTGATCAAGGAGCAGCCAAGCGGACTGTGGCTTGAGGTGATGTCCTCTGTACCTAATAAAGAACTCAGCTCCAGATTTGATACAGATCTTCTATTGCATAAAATACTTTTGTATTCAATTTGATTTCATGAAGCATACTGATCAGGAATTACCATGTTATGCCAATTGTTGAATCCATTTTTTTTTGGGTGCAAGTTTCAGTTTGTCAAACCTTTTCTCATTCTTTTCATGCCAGAGCAAGAAAGCATATGAGATGTGGATAAACAAATGCACGCACAATAGTATTTTGGTGACTTTATTTGGATGTAATATATCTTTTAATCCCAAGGAAAGAGGATATATTATTCTTCTGACATTTATCTTCTTTCACATATGGTTATAGTTCCTTTTTTTTGCGCCATTAACTTGTGAAGGTTTAGAACTTAGAAGGTCAAGGTTTTCTTGATCCATAGGCTGCCTTGAACTTCATAGATGGCATGACTATCCAACTTTATTATCCTAAACAATAATATAGATCTGTTTCGAGCATATCCTGGTGGCACTGAACAGTGTAAGAGATTAAGTGCTCAGCTAGGCGTTCAGCAGTAGCATTGAGTGTAAGTTGAATAGCTTCATGTTTTGCATTCAACTTATTTGTTGTATTGCGTCTAAGGAGTGAGTGTTAGTTCTTTATATTTCTGAAGACTAGGGTATGGATTATCTGGAGATTGTCACCAAAGTTTAGCATATTTTAATAAAGTTTATAATCAATTTATATGAGATGTGATATCGTTGTTCTCTTTTACTATGGTAGGGGCTAACGAAAGAGAGTGGATTTCATCCTATTATACTTGTGCTTAGCATCAGCTCACAGCATTTGCTACAGTTATCAACAACTGGCTCAGTAAGGGAGGGCCGGCGGCACGTGAGGCGGTCCACTGCTAGGCGCAACAAGCTCACGAGGAACAGGCGGCAAGGTATGTGCATGATGCGGTCTGCACGGCGAGCCACACAGTTTGCTCGAATGGGCTGGCGCTGTGAGCTGCAGGGATGCGAGCTATGGAAGAATGGATGACGCATGATTATGAATCCTGAATATCGGTGATGGTCCAATATTCAATGTAATCAAATGATGTTCAGTTTCTCACGAAATCCATTGCTTTTTACATTTTGTATTTTTCTTCTGTCAAACCAGATCAAGCTGTACAAGAAACAAAGTAAGGCAGATTTTTTTTTTCAGAAACTTCTTTGCAGCAACTTACAATGTCGATATAAAGTTGTCTTGCTGAAACTTTTGTTGATATAAAGTTGTCTTGCTGAAACTTTTGTTGTTCTAGTTGGTAATGTATGAAAAAAATATAAAAGATGGACATAGTTATTGTTTTTGTTATATCAAGGTTTTCTGTTGCAATCAAATTATACTTAATGCTTATATAACATCATTTTACCCGGTGATTTGAAATTAATGCATATTTTTTTCCCGTTGCAAAGCACGGGCACCCAACTAGTTAATGAAAGAAATAAGTTCACTTTGACTCCCTTAAATAGTAACCGAATCTGATTCGTATCCAATACTAGCTCGCATCATTGCTGCTTCATCTTTTTTCCCCACAGTAAAATCAGCGAAGTGACGGTGCACCGACGCCCAATTCCTCAGCGTCATCCGCCCGCCACCCTGTAATTTCCCACCCTCCAGAACCGCACAATCTAGCCCATCCAACGGGCAGGCCCATTAGCACAGACCACCACACTTACACTTTCGCTATCCAACAGGCAGGCCCATTAGCACATACCACCACACTTACACTTTCGTCCTCGTTTCGTGTAATATGGTTAACTTGATATGGTTGAAGTGTTGATGCAGTTGGAGGTAGAAGCCCTTATAAGTTGCTTGCCCGTAACCGCTCGCCCTCCAGAACCACGCAACCCAAACCCATCCAACAAGCGGGCTTATTTACACATATCACTTTACTTGCACTTTCATTCTTCTTTCATTAAAAGGGTTAATATGATATGATTGGATGGATAAGATTTTATAAGTTGTTTACATTATTGCTAAACTACCAATGCGGTACTAAACATGCACACACAACTCTCATGGGCTATGATACCATATGTAATGACCCACCATCCAGAACACCTTATAAGTTGGTTACACTAATACAAAACCAGTAATGTGGTATTAAACATGTCCTCACAACTCTCATGGGCTGTAATACCATTTGTAATAGCCCACCCTCCAAAACCGCACAACCCAGCCCATTTGATGGACGGGCCCACTTACATGTACCATTACATGTACACTTCCGTCCTCTCTTCACGTAAAAGGCTTAACTCAGGAGAAATGTGGTACTAAACATGTGCACACAACTTTCACAAGCCACACAATCCACATTCTAATTGGGTCAAGATGACATACACCCTCTCCTTCTCTAGCCGATGGCACTGCCCTATCCTCTCACGTGCATCCGCCTTTCCTTTCTGGCTTCTAATAGATTGAGTTAATAGATCCAATCCTCTTTTTTAAGAGATAAACTCAATATTTTGTTTGCCCTCCATTATCTTAGGTTCCCACAACCCAAGCAAATAAAAGTATTGCCTGACTTTGACATAGATAAATAAAGAATGATCACAGTAAGTTCTATCTCAGCTTGGTATTATCAGATGCTTTGGTTGTTTTTTAACTTGACCAAGCTTTAATGAATATATAGCAACATTTTCAACAAACAAATATAGTATTAAAATATATTCATCTTTTGATTTAATGCAACTAATTTGATATTGTACTCGCTTTTTTTATAAACTATAGTCAAATTTAAAATAAAAGTTGATTAGGAGAAAAGTTAAAATGTGTTATAATATGAAACGGATGAAATACCTAAAAACCTAAAATTTACAAGCCAAACAGCAGCCTAGGTAACACAAAACAAAATATTCCTTGAAACAAAAACTCGTCGCTATCGCTAAAATAGTTTCGCTTGAAAATTTGTTTAAGGCGCTGTTATTTTCTCCAACAAAAGTTGGATAAACTTTTGGATATTTGTGGTACGCTTTTCAAACTGATAAACGATGTGTTTCGTGCGAAAACTTTCTATATAGAACACAAGATCATACGTTAAAACTCAATTAATCCATTTTTCAAGTTTGTAATAATTAAAACTCAATTAATTATACGTTATTATCACCTCGTTTTACATGAAAACTTAATTTTTATCTTCATGTTCATCTTCACGACCTTCAAACACCACCTAAATACAGAACCATTAGTAGCTAAGAAAGCACATTCTTTGAACCAGCTACAGAAGACTAAGATAAGTCAGCATCGAACTACCAAGAAAGAAATTGAGCAGTCAGCATCGGAGACTCGGTCAATGATGTTCCGCTGGTGATGAACTGTATACCTCTTAGCTACTGGAGGCTACTTGTTATCCATAAGTTATTTTCACAACTACTCCTAATTGACACGGTGAGTATGATCGTTGGTGTGTTCCGCGGAGGATTCGGCGACTATTTTAGCATATATTTTTTTTCGGCTGCTGCGAGTTGGCGATCCTATTGGTCTGTGGAAATGGGCGCAGGATTACTGCCTGCACAGGTACAGGTGCACACACGCCGTGGAAAAAAATTAGCATCAGCTTGGCAGCTTGGACCCAGTAAGACAAATCATGTACTACCTCCATTCCAAAATAAGTGCAGCCATATATATCCGTGTTTAGCGCTTTGATCATCCGTCTTATTTGAAAAATTTATAAAAAAATATTAAAAAAATAGTCACATATAAGGTACTATTCATGTTTTATCATCTAATAACAATAAAAATATTAATCATAATCTTTTTTCAAATAAGACGAACGGTCAAACGTTGAATATAAATAGTGCTAAAACTGCACTTATTTTAGGACGGAGGGAGCACAAAGTACAATAAGCCGCCAGTTTTTTCTTATGCTGTTGTTTGTAACTAGATTCATTAACATCTAAATGAATATGAACAATGCTAGAAAGTGTTACATTATGAAACGGAGGGAGTAGTACAGTAAGTTTCTTGCTGGAATGTCAAAATAGGAGTGGACACATTTAGTATCAGTGAAAATTTTCTTTTGGGACAGAAGCGGCGAGGGACTGTCACGTAAACTTATCTCGCGTGGAACCTCCCAATAAACTGCGACCATTCGTACTATTACAACTACTGACCATGAGAGATCCCAAAGTCCAATTGAAACTGAAGGGCAGTGTTCCTTCTCTTCAAGCTAAATATATTTTAAATTAGATTTAAATAGCGAAAAATATAAAAAAAAACAAGTTCAGATATATATAGTGCATGCACTTCACTTACCTTGATTTTCCTTTCATAATTAAATTTACTTGTTCTTCAGGGGACAAGAGTGAACATCCCACTAGGTTTAGAAAAGATTCAATCAATCAAATACTATTAAAGAGAACCGAAGTGGTTCGTTTCACCTGTTTATTTTGTCCTTAAATCAGTAGTACTCCTAGCAAACGCCCCAAAGGCCAAAAATCTATCCTGGGCCGAACGGCACGTGCCAAATCGTTCTGCGTGTACTGCAGGGCCGAATCCGCGTCTCCGCCGAATGAGTAACCCGAAGCACACGGCATAGCCGCATGGGCGCCAGGGTGGGAAACTCGGTGCACCACAGCCGTTCTTGTTCCCCCCGCGCGATCCCATCAGCTCACCACTACAAAAAGTTTTCACGCACTCACCCAACCAGCAAGAACGAAGGAACTACCACGCTCGATCTTCCGCTGCGCGCGCCGATTTGAGCTTTACGCCGGCCTACCCAATTACCCAATCCAGCAAGAACAGCATATACTCGTCCCGCCCATGGCAGGATCGACTCTGTTCCGATGGCTCTTCTTACTGCTGGCCATCGTGTCGCTTGCCGCGGCGGATAGCGGCAGCGGCGAAGCAGAGACCACCGTCCCCGGACAAATTCGCCTGAGCTGCGGCGCGTCTGCCTCCGCCACCGACGGGGACGGCCGGGCGTGGGACGGTGACGCCGTGTCCACGTTCGCGCCGTCGGTGACCGGCGTCGCGGCCGACGCGTCGTACCAGGACCCCTCGCTGCCTTCCCCCGTGCCGTACATGACGGCGCGCGTGTTCAGCTCCAGCTACACCTACTCCTTCCCCGTCAAGCCCGGCCGCGTGTTCCTCCGTCTCTACTTCTACCCGTCCGCCTACGGCAACCTCGGCGCCGCCGCCGCCGCCGCGGACGCGCTGTTCGGCGTCACCGCGGGCGGCATCACGCTCCTCCGCGACTTCAACGCGTCGCAGACCGCGCTCGCGGTCGGCTACGCGTACATCGTCCGCGAGTTCTCGCTGAACGTCAGCTCCGGCGCCACGAGCCTCAACGTCACCTTCGCCCCCTCGCCGCGTGGCGCCCCCGGCCACGGGTCCCACCACTACGCGTTCGTCAACGGCATCGAGGTCGTGCCCACGCCGGACATGTTCACGACGCCGGTGCCCGCCTTCGCCAACGGCGGGCGCCCGAACCCGATGCCCCTCCGCGCCGACACGGCGTTCCAGACGATGTACCGCCTCAACGTCGGCGGCGAGGCCATCACCCCACGGGACGACGCCGGCGGTTTCTACCGCACGTGGGACAACGACGCGCCCTACATCTTCGGCGCGGCCTTCGGTGTGACCTTCGCGAAGGACAGCAACGTCAGCGTCCGGTACAACCCGCCGTCGGTGCCGAAGTACGCCGCACCGGAGGACGTGTACGCGACGGCGAGGTCGATGGGCCCGAACGCGCAGATCAACCTCAACTACAACCTCACCTGGATCCTCCCCGTCGACGCCGGCTTCTACTACCTCCTCAGGTTCCACTTCTGCGAGATCCAGTACCCGATAACGAAGGTGAACCAGAGATCATTCTTCATCTACATCAACAACCAGACGGCGCAGTCTCAGATGGACGTGATAGTGTGGAGCGGAGGGATCGGGAGGGCGGTGTACACGGATTACCTCGTCGTCACGGCGGGCTCCGGCCAGATGGATCTGCTGGTGGCGCTGCACCCGGACCTCAGCTCCAGGCCGGAGTACTTCGACGCCATACTCAACGGCCTCGAGGTGTTCAAGCTCCACAAGTACGGAACCCACAGCCTTGCCGGGCCAAACCCGCCGATCCCGCTGAAGCAGGTATTCAGCACGGTGGACGGAAGCAGATCGGAGTCCAGGAAGAAGAGCGTCGTCTGCGCCGCCGTCGGCGGTGTGGCCGCCGGTTGCTTCCTTGCGGTGTTGGTTGCCTTCGCCGTCGCGTGGGCTGTTCGCAGGAGGCAGAGGAAGGCCGCGGCGGAGAAACCGGCTGATGGGCTTCTTGGCCCAACAAAAGGCTCCGCCCTTTATGACCCGGTCCAAAAATAAACAGGCCAATTTTTTAAGCCTTTTGTTTTGATAATATTATAGGGTATGTATAGCTATAATTGGGTTAACATGAAAGAATTATAAATGGGCCCAAAAACATCACATGCTTTGGCAATTTTTCAAGGAGAGAACTATATATTACCTCCCTTAACTATAGCATGAGCTCAAATATTTCCCTCAACCGCAATATCAGTTATCGCACATCTCTCAACTACCAAAACTTATTTAATTGAGATAATCCAAGAAATACCATTGACAAGCGTGCAAATACTAGAAATGCCATCGACAAGTGTGAGTTCCAAGAATGCCATTGTACAAACAACTCTATACCAAAAATGCCATCGATCTTAGGATTCTGTCCATTCCGCGCCGTTAAGTTCTATAGGATGAACAGTGTATTTAATGGCGCAAAATGGACGAAACCTTAACGGCGATGGTATTTTTGGGACAAAATCGTTTGTACGATGGCACTTCTTGAAACTCACACTTATCGATATCATTTATCGATATCATTTCTGGTACTTGAATGCTTGGTAATGGTATTTCTTGGATTATCTTTATTTAATTTGTCTCCCCAAGCGATTTTAATGATTATTTTATTTTATTTTTTTTGCGGGGAATAATTTTATTTGACATGACGCTGGCATGATATTACTTTTTTTTTTTGGGTACGAAACGCTGGCATGACATTACAATTAGAAAGAAAGAGGAAAAAATGGGTCTCAGTTGTCAATGATGAATGATCCACTCCTGTCCTAATTTTTATCCCTCTGTTTTTTTTCCCTCCGAGGTCTGTATAACTAAAATTGGGCCGTCCTGAAAGAAGTATATTAATGAGCCCAAAAATGTAACATGCTCTTGCAATTTCATCTCCATTTCTGTGTAGCGTAACTTTCCTTCTGTCTCAACGGCACGTCAATAAGGTGTGAGCCAGATGTTTGGATTAGGTTGTGGTTTGCCTTTCGCTTGTATGGGCGACCAACCAACAGGATGCTAACAAATTTGGCTGGTTTCGGTTCAGCATGCCTCACAAAGTTGGCACTTGCCACAATTCCTGGTGGACCAACCGAAATGCAAAAGCCCGGGGCAAAATTTTCCGTGTGTATCCAAGCAAGAAACCTCCTGCATGGTGACAGCATTTGCCTGTGATGTCACAGGCGAATTAGGTCACTTACGGCACCATCACCGAGATCGCATTGTGATCATCCTGGGTAATCAATATTAGTACACGTACATTGGCTGGATTTTCCTGAATAGGGCATAGTGCTTAGTACTAGCTCTAGCTCTGTTCAGTAGTGTTTCTGAATTGACTAATCATCGGTACTCCATGGCAGAGAAGTCTTTTTTATTTCCATGGCCCGTCAAGCAATCAAGTTCCATGTGACGCTCTTTTACCGTACGAAACAATCCCGTTTCAGTGAAAATTAGGCAACCTCAAGCAATGGTTTCGGTATGGTCTCGATGTAATTTTGGTGTAACTGAAACTCTATGGCAGTAGTCTTGAATACTGTATGAAAGGAGGACCGTTCAAGTTATGCCTTTTTGGATTTTGGTAGTGCCATCCTCAGAGTAGGAGAGCTACTCCATTGGAAAGTGTAAGGCTCAACATCATCATGTCAGGACAACTCTAGTAAGATCAGAAAGAGTAAAGTGAACGAAGGGAAAGAAAAATGCAGGCAGCTCATGCTCATCATAATTTGGGGGAGGGGCACTGAATGCCATGAGGCAGCACGACACAGAGGCAGGAGAAATGGAGAATTCATCGCCACGGCGCCAAAACAAACCAAAGTCTTCGATCCCTTCTCCAGACATGGCACCCAGACTGTGTGGGTGGCCATGGCGATAGAAATATAACCCATTGAGAAAATCCGCATGCTAAGTGTGCAAGGCAAGCAACACTGCTTGCTTCCTTTGCTTTGGGTTAAAAGGCACGGGCTTGATTGATCTTTTGCACTAACAAAAGGGGCCTCGCCACTTGCCAGGATCGGTGCCAACACTTCACTCTAGTCGGCTGCGTACTCCAATACTCCATGCATGCCTGGATGATCCATTGATCCTGCTCTCACTGACAGAAAAAACAGGGTAGTAGCAGTCACAAGTAGCTCTGAAACTGTTTAATTAGTTTCCTTCTAAAATACTCCTGCTAATAGCCTGTCATTACCTGTGATGCTCAACAAGTGACAACTAGTACTGATATTTATTTACTAGTTAGCAGTACAAACATCAGTACTCTGTACTCATACTCTCAGCACTGACGCCTGGTGGGATTAAGAGATTGACCTGAATAATCGGAGATGTAGCCATGTTTCTACAGATCATTATCAGCAACATACACGTTGATTTATCATGATGTTAACACTTGCTGAGTTAGGACATCGAAGTATGTTTGTTTCCCTCTTGGATTAGTTTCTCAAATTCCCATGCTGATTGCACGTCATAGGTGCATCTAGCGAAGCAAGGGACCCACGGTCCGATACGTGTCTCATCATAGAGTTGATAAACACCGGACACGCAAATTAATATTTGGTGCCGCATTGCATTACAGCATTTTTGTACAACAACGGGTTTGCGCTGCTTTACGTTACCCTAGTACTTCACCCCTTGATCCAACGGCTTTTAATTGGTTTTACAGTTTGGTGAAAGGTACAGCATGAACACTGCGGTACAGGGGTACGTGCTGGGATGCAGAGTTTACTAGCATGTTCAGGTTTCATGCTAATCTGCTCTGCAAACAGAATCACTGTTGCTGCTGTAATGCAGTATTTTTACTGCGGATTTGATTCTTTGCACGTACTTAAGTTCACTAACCAGTGTACAACATTGTACTATTGTGCAACAAACTATCGAATTGCAAACAGTTGAGCTGCTGTCTGCTCAACTGCTATGCGAAATTTTCCACGTAGCAGTAGTAGCAGAATTTCAGGTTGCAAAGGGCAGGCAGAGGTAGAAAAGTAGAAACCGAGACGTGGATTGGTTTCCAAGGCTGACCTCCACCATTTCTGGGATCTCTCCATCAGGAGAGTGCAAACCCGCCACTATTTACTTCCGGCCTCTGCATCCGCACCACCACCACCGCGCACTCCAAAGAAACCCGGGGATAAAAGGCGCGAGAGGTCTCATTCCCGGGCGGGTTAAGTTAAACCATTCTCAAGCTAAGGCTAAGCCTCGCCATGGCGTCCACTCTCTCGTCTCCGTCGCCGCCGTCTGCCGATCCCGTCACCGGATCCTCCGACGCCGCCTCGTCCTTCCTCCCGTCTCTCCTCATCATCGCTGCTCTTCTTGCCTTCGTTCTACTAGCGTCGGTCTCGATCCACCTACTTCTCAGACTTCTGTCCAGGTCGTCGCCGCCGCCGCCGCCGCCGCCGCCGCTCCCACGGACGCGCCGTGAGGTGCACAACGTCGAGGCGGCGGACGCTTCTCCGGTGCGGCGTAATGGGGTTTGTGAGGGGAAGAAGGAGGTGGTGGGCGACGAGAAGCAGCGGCTGATCGAGTCGCTGCCGCTGTTCACGATGGCGTCGTCGCTGGCGGCGCTCCCCAAGAGCTCACCGGACTGCGCCGTCTGCCTGTCGCCGTTCACGCTGGACGCCGAGCTGCGGCTGCTCCCGGCGTGCCGCCACGCGTTCCACGCCGCCTGCGTCGACGCGTGGCTCCGCACCACCCCGTCCTGCCCGCTCTGCCGCGCCACCGTCACGCTCCCGCACCCCTCGATCTCCGCCATCCTCGCCGCCGAGCAGCCGCCGCCGCCGGAGCCGAGGAGCAGGGACCGTTCCAGGAGCTTCCGCGTCGAGATGGGCAGCGTCAGCAACCGCAGCGCGTCGACGGCCACCGGCGGCAACGCCCGCCCCACCTACTCGCTCGGCACGTTCGACTACCACATCGACGAGGAGGTCGAGGCCGTCGTCTCCCGCGCCGCGCCCATGACAACCAGGAGCGCCGCCGCAGTCAAGGAAGACAAGCCAGCAGCCGAGCAGTCTCCACCGCCTCCCGGCGAGGCGGTGGCCGAAGCGGCGGGCGCGACGCGCGGCTGGCTGCGGGAGTACGTGGAACGGCTGGCCACCTCCGCGTCATCCCTATCGTCCTTCTCCGGGCGGTGGAGCTCCCGGTGGAGCCAGAGCTACCAGAGCCACCATAGCCACAGCCAGGAGGAGCCATGGCTGTGGGACGCGGAGGCGGTGAGGATGTCGCCGCCGGGGACGGAGGAGGAGGAGACGGCGTTCATGGTGCTGTACCGGTGGATCGCAGGGGTATAAACGTAATTACCATAAAAAGGCACAGGAAGGCTTTCGTGTCAAATTGTCATCTTCAGATAGATAGCCTTCATCAGGTACTCAGGTGAATGGTGAATCCAATGTTTTGGATGCTTCTGTGTTGACTCGATCGGGTACAAACTGGTAGGCGTAAGCAGTTTGCAGGCCTCTCTTTGCACATAGTTATCCTCGGAGTTCGGATTTTGGAAACCGAGGAGAGCATAATTAGCAGCCAGGGTAGGAAGGAATCATGCATGCAAAATATTGTTCTTTTCCGTGGACGAGTTTGATGCATCTTGTTTATTTTCCCAGAGATGTAGTAGTAGTTGTTGTTGTGTACTTTGTGTGACTTCATCATGTGTGTCACAACGTGTCAGTCAGAGCACCACCATGGAGGCGCCTGGTGAAATGGGAAAGAGTGCCTTGGCATGCCATGCGTGGCGGTAGCTATGAAACGTGAAATCCAATTTCAGAGTTCCGGTGCATCCATGTATAATCCAGCTAGTTCGCTGATGCTGCTTATTTACATGTGAGCTGCTTGTTGCTTTGGTGGCAATGCCAGTGCACTGCACGGGCAGCCCGAGTGCGAGCGGCCGAGTATAAATTAAGCGGCAGAAAAGGCCCAAATTTGATCGGTTTCACCCGTTTCTCGTGCACACGCCGAGTCGCTGTGTTGACGGCAGTCAATGTGTCAAATCGCCTGCAGCAGCAGCTAGCTACTCTATCTAGCTCGCTGATGTGATTCGGGTCACCAACTCTATCGCCCATGCATGACGAGAGCACAGGTCTCCTGGTGGTCAAAACCACGGCACAAGCGTTGCTGCCTTCACGCAACGACGCACAGATCCGACGACCTGCCTGCCCTTCGATCCGTAGATACGATTTGGTTTTGGTGCAACGATTGCATCTCGAGCGACCGAATAGTTTTACCATCAGATCTTGTCGTCATTAGCTGCATCCTGCATGCTGAATTGCTGATGCTTTTTGCTTAGCGGTGCCGTATTAGCTAGGTACGTTACGTAGCGAAATGCGCATGCGCAACTTTGGTACGGATGCAATTTACTGACGTACGGTGTGAGTACCGGACTACCGGTGCTGTCGAAACGAGAAGTGCAGACAACGTTTCGGTACAGGTACAGCCGTACGTACAGTGCGAAGTCACATTTATATTCGCCGGTGTTCCCGTACATACTACATACTGCATGGCTCGATCAGTACGGCTCGTGGAGAGGTCCATGACTTTATTGTTATATACATTTACTAACAAAAGTGTTCATGCGTTGCACCTGGTGATTACGGAGCGTGTATATTGACCAAAAGTATTGTTTGGTTTAGCAAAAGTGCCTCTGCGTTGCAACGGAAAGCGTACAGATGAGAAGAATATGCAATTAATTAAAATATAAATTCACTGAAATATTTGGTATCTTTAAGTAGGTATGTATACAATTAAATAAATTTACAAGTAAAGTAAGTGTGAGAAATAAAATGATATGGTTAAATTTAATTTTATTAAATTCTCCATGATTAGTTTCGCTCTTTGAAATTTTATTGGAATTTTCAGAGCTTAATTGCTAATTTTAATAATACAAATATCATTTAACAATTATTTAATTGGAAATCTAATTTAATTTTTTGTTGGGCCGGCCGACCTACGTGCGGCCCATCACTGATGCGGCCCGATGATGGAGGCCAGCCCAACACGGGACGGCTCAGATCGGCTCCTAATCTATCAAAACCCCCAACCCAAATAAACCCTAACCCTAATTTCATTCTTCCCCTTCCTCCCCTCCACGCAGGCCGCCTCTCTCCCTGCTGGCGGCCACGCCACACCCCCACCGGCGCACCTCTCCACGCTCCTCCCCAACCGGCGACGCCTTTTGCCCCCCTCCCCACTGCCGGCAGCCTTCCCCACCGAGCAGCGGCGACGACGGCGGCAGCGGTGGCGACGGCACACTCCCTCGCAGCGGGCGGCTGTGGCAGCACGGCGATGGTGGCGCCGCTCCCTCTCCCCACTGCCGGCTCCTTCTCTCCTCGTCGGGCGGTGGCCACCGCACCACTCTCTCGGCAGATCCGGAGGTGGCGGCGGTCGCGGGCCGGTGGCGGCTCCCTCCTCCCCTCTCGCCTCCCTCCTGCCCCTGATCCGGCGGCGATGGCGGTGTCGGCGGGTGGGTCCGTGGCCGACGACGAGGTGGCGAGGAGCAGCGCGCTGCAGCCTCCGGTCCGGCTCGCCCCTCCCTCTCCTAGTCATCTCGTGTTAATATGATGTTTTCTAATGATTCCGATTTAGATTTGGACTGGGATTTTGTGTTTGATTTGGATTTGGATTGTGATGATTTGAGATTGGAGAGAAGGTGTGCTCAATGTGGGATTCTATTTGTGTGATGATGGAATTCCAACTGGGTTTTTTGAGGGGGGATGAAAAATCACCGTATGGATGAGGTGACGACCAGAAAAATCCGAATATTTATATTAGTTATAGATATGGCTCGTGGAGATAATTATTTTTGGAGATGGTCTCAACATAAAAAGGCAGTGTTGGAATTGTTGAACAACCTACTATATCCCGCTTTGCTGACCACATGGAATGTCCTCTGGGCTTTGAAGGTAAACAATGCCTACCGGCCTTTTTTGGTCTAGAAACAGAGGGGAATAAGTCCACTTTGACTCCCTTAAATTTGACTCCCTTAAAAGTAACCCGAATCTAATATGTGACCCTCAACCACAAAACCGGATAGAACGACTCCCTAAACTATTGAAACCAGTGCAATTTGACTCCCTTGGTGGTTTTGGAGGGTGGTTTTGCTTATGTGGCGCTGACGTGGCGATGTTGACCTAGTTTTCGTCCCACGTGGCGCTTACGTGGCATTAGAATTAAAAAAAAAATCTATGGACCCACATGTGATTCACACATAAAAAATATTGTGGGCCCCACTGACATGTGGCCCTACATGTCATTCACTCTCTCCTTCCCCTTCCCTCTCTCCCCGTTCTCTCTCTTTATCTCTGTCACACCCTGAAGTTCTCCTCCTAAGTCTAAAATTGAATTTATAAATCACCCTAAGAAAATGCCGGTGCAAATCAAGAGAAAACCTTAATAAATTAATGCAAATAATAATCGAAATTGGCATGTGGAATTTTTTTTTTGAGTTCTACATGTCGAAATACGCTAACAAGATTTTTAGTGGAATTTTCAGAGCTCTCGAAATAATTTTAACCAATTAAAATTGAGCACATGCAATTTTAATCCTATGAAAAATCCTTTTTCCTTCTTTTTCCTTTTTCTTTCTTTTCTTTTCCCCTTTTCCTTTGAATAGGCCGCCGGCCCATTCCTCCTTTTTCTCCCCCTCCTCCCGCTGGGCCGGCCGAAGGCCAAGGCCCAGCTAGGCCGCGCGGGCCGGCCGCCCGCCTCCTCTCACCCGGGTCGCTGACAGGTGGGGCCCACCTATCGGACCCGTCTCCCACCTCGCGCCGCGCCGCCGCGCCCGCAACCACCGCCGCGCCCACGCCTCCGCCTCCTCCGGGCCACGTCGGCCACGCCCGCGCATGCGCCGCACCTCCCGCACCCACTCCCCCCTCTCCCCGCGTCTTCCGGCCGCGCCCGCGCACGAGAAGGGCAGGATTCGATTTTGAATCGTCCCCACCTTCTCTCTCTCCTCCCCCACGTCGCCGGCGAAATCGGGGTGCCTCCCGGCCACGTCCGCCTCCCCCTCCGCCTATAAAATGCTCCCCATGCCCTCCTCTCTCGTTTTCCGCTCTCACCGCTCCATCCCGTGCCCCCTACCGAGCTCGCGCCGCCGCTGCTTGCGCCGCCGCACTCCGGCCGTGTGCCGCCGCTGCTAGAGCCGTCGCCGCGCTAAGCCACCGCCACCCCTAGCTTCGCCGCCGCAAGACCTTTCCCGGCCGCCGCTTTGCGTCGCCGGAATCCCACCGAAACCCCATCTCCCTCGTGTCGCCGGTGAGTTCTCTCTCCCCTCCGACTCCGGCCGGCGTGGATGGTCGCCGTGAGGGTTTCCCTTCGTCCTAATTCCTCCTCTCTTTTCCCTAGGTGTCGCCGTCGCTCTTCCGCACCTCGGCATCGCCGGTCTTCGCCGCCTCCCTCGTTTTCCGCCGCCGGCCGTTGCCGCCCCCCCCGGTGAGGTCTCCCTCCCCTTCCTTTCCTTCCTTTTTTTTCCCGTGCGCCGCCGCCCTCTTCGCGCGCTCGCCATCGCGTTCGGCCGTCGCCGCTCGCGCCGCCGCCCGCCGTCCACGCCGCCGTTTGCCGTCGCCGGTGGTCACATGCGCGCGCCGCCGCTTTGCCATGGCCGGCCGGTCGGCTTGATGCCGGGCCTGGCCGGTACATCGGCCCGTGGAGCCGGGGCCGTGGGGCCCGCTTGCCAGCCGTGCCCTCCCCTTGAGCCGCTGCCGAGTGGGGCCCACGTGCCGCCGCCCCTTCCCCTCTCTCCCGAGCCACTGACCAGTGGGACCCGCCCGTCGGCGCCACCCCCCCTTGATGACGTCAGCCCTGGGAGTTATTGCGCAATAAATTATTTAAGGACTTTTTTTATAGTAATAAACACAGTGAATCTTCTAAAATTCATAACTAATTCATCCGAGCTCCGTTTAAGCCCATTCAAGTCTCAGTAAATCAAGAAAAATGTGTAGAATCCATTAAAAATAGTTTTGTTCTCTGTTTCAGTAGTCTTATAGCCTGTTTGCATTGTTTGCTTTGTATGTCGCTTAGATTCCGGTTCTTCCGACGCTCCGGTGTACTTCGAAATAGTCGCCGAGGTTCCTCCAGCAGCAGAGCAAGGCAAGTTATGCTTGTCACTTGAACATGTTGATCCTATATTGCAAATGCTCTATTGTTTTTCTTCAAATACTGCATCGTTTTATAATGTTATTATGGGATGTTTACCTATTGTTACAGCCATGCTATTTTGGTACCTTGCTCCTTTGTTAGCTTGGGTTATAACATGAATAGACATTGGACTAGGAGTTGCTTAGCCATGCTTAGTTCAACTAGTACACAATGGGGAAAATCCTATTAATGTTTAGACTGTTGGTTCTAATGGTATTGTTGGATTAGTGCCACCGCTTTGGTGTTGGTTAATTAAAATAAATCACATGGTGGGCTGTGGGTGCATGGTTTTGCTGGTCGCACCCATGGCAGTTAAGGACCGGTTCGCGGGATGCCCTGGAAGAACTTATCGTACTTACCACAAGCCAGCATGGGCAACGGCTGGGCTTGTAGTGTAGCTTTCCTCTAGCTGACGCATCCAGGCAAGGGTGGGCGTGATGGAGCGGGACGGGCCCTGCGACGGCCTCTGTCGCTTCCGGATTCACCTAGGCATGAGAGGGGACTGCCCGCTGCCTTGCGAGGAGTGGGGGTGAAACCTGAGGT